CTGCATATCTGAGGTTGTTGATATTTCTTCCAGCAATCTTAATCGGGATTCCTCCAGTCCAGCCTTTTGCATGATGTATTCTGAATATAAGTTAATTAAGCAGGGAGACAATATACAGCCTTGCCGTACTCCTTTCCCCATTTTGAACCAATCAGTTGTTCCATATCCAGTGCTAACTGTTGCTTCCTTTCCCACATATAAATTTCTCAGGAGATAGGTAAGGTGGTCAGGCACTCCCATTTCTTTAAGAACTTCCCATAGTTTGTTGTGGTCTACACAAAGGCTTTTGCGTAATAAATGAAGAAGATGCTTTTCTGGAACTCTTTGGCTTTCTCCATAATCCAGCACATGTTAGCAATTTGATATCTAGTTCCTCTGCCTCTTTGAAATCCAGCTTCTACTTCTGGGAGTTCTCGGTCCACATACTACAGCAAGAGAGGTTTGTGGTTCACTGTCTACATCTGAAATCAATGGGACTTCAAAGTATATGGATCATGTCCTTCACCTTTGGTACCTATCTCCTTTTTCCAAGTATTAGAATCAGATATCATATTATCTCCTCAAATATCCCCAGTTAATATTCCTATGGTTAAGATCAGCATTTCCTCTCCAAATTAAGGTTATGACCTTTATAACCAATAAACACTTAATGGGTGCATTAGAAAGATCACAGCCTCTTTACCAGTGTACACAACAATGGCAGCTGAAGTACATAACGTATTGTTTGTTTTGGAAGATCTAAGTATGCAAGGCATTATATAAAGAAAGATACCACCTCACATCTCTTCAGCCTATTTCTTCACTGTGTGGTTCATGCTTGTTTTAGAAGGTACAAAAAATCAATATAAAACCATGAATAAAAATAACCTTCCTTTAAAATTGGATGCTGAAAAACCAAACAGCTGGCTTTCTTTTCTAGCAGAAAAGATCAGGTTCTACCATGCAGCTCACTCTTTTGCCAAGAAAACAGAAAACTAATATTTTTAAGTAATGTGAAGTAAAAAAATAAATAAATATAAGGTTTGTATTCTCAAAGGTTTATTAGCAAACCATTAGGGGTGAGCTGGGGATCCTATTCATTTTGTCTTCCACTTCCTGATGCAAATCGTGCCCCAATATTCCCTATCTTCAGATTAATGAGTAGTGCAAAAAGACATCACTGAGTACACTATACTCCCTGGTGTCTATATATTGGATACTTCCCACCACTGGTAATGTAGGACCAATTAGCCAATATTATGCCATTAACATAATATTGCATCATAAGCATCTCCCTTGTCCACTTGTCTTTTCCCCACCAACTAATGAAATAGCATGCTATCTTCATATCAACCTTTCTCAACATGAGATCTGCTAGATTTGGATTATATAGCTCAGCTCTAGTTAGAATCACCAACAATCAGAGCTGTAAACAGTTGATACAGCTCAGGGGTTGGAAAAGCCTGGAGTTGTCAATTACAATCCCTCTGTGCCTCCAGGTTGCGAGACCAGCTGAGATCCCTGGAAGCATGTGTGGTTGAAGGGGTTACATGTGCTGCCAGCTGTGCAGCCTTGGGCAAACTACATGGTCTCAAAGCAGCACCAAAAGGAAGAACTGGCAAGATGTGCTGCCAGCTGTGCAGCCTTGAGCAAACTACAAAGCAGCACCAAAAGGAAGAACTGGCAAGTCACTTCTGAGTATTTTATACCTAAAAGCCCCACAAAGGTCAGTGTAAATTACACTGAGACTTGACAGCACATTAAAAAATGAGGTTGCAATACAAATCCCATGGAAGATTCTCCAGGTCAAGAAGCCACAAGGCCTCTCTGGTGATGCAGGGTTAGCATTTGGGGGAAGTTTTCTTTATTTAATGATGTCTAGTATCCACCACTCCCAGTCCCGGGTGAGAAAGGAGGAGGGTTAGGTGACAGGTTAGCAACTCATCCCTGTAAATATACTACGGAAACAGCACGCTGCCCGATATGCTACATGGCATGGAAGTGGATCATCATCATCAGTAACCTGAGAAGGTAGTATTAGCACTAGAGATGGGCATGAACCGCTAGTTTGTAGGTTTGTGCTGGTTCATTTATTGTACAAACAGGTGTTCGGCTCTTCAAAGTCCCGCTTCTTCTGGCGGGCAGCCACTCAGAGGCAGCACAGGGAAGAGGCGGGGCAGAGAAACCAGAGTGCTGCCTCCGAATGAAGGCCCGCCAGATGAGATGGGGGGTTTGAAGCACCGGTTTGGCTGATATGCAAACCAGCATGAAACCCAAACTGGTGGGCCGTGCCCATCTCTAATTAGCACATTTCATGCAAATTAAGCAGAAGCCACACACCCAAGACCATCATTCTGTTTACTAAACTGGGAAGACATAAAACAGGTTTTCATTTCTGGATTGAATAAACACATGAAGACAGGAAGAACACTGGCCCTTTATCCTTTTGTTTCCATTCTCCCTGGAAAATCAGGAATCCGGCTCATGTGCAGATCCTTCACAAATAATGAAGGTCTTCTTCTTCAGACTATTCAAATGAGGAGACTAGTGATGGGACGTTTTCCTTTGTGCACAGTTCACGTGCACAGTTCACATTCACGTGCACAGTTAAAGGTCATGGATATTAACATCACTTGTCAAGGATGAAGCGTCAATATCTCAGCAATGTCAGGAATAAAAAGGAGGTTGTTTTTCTCCCATTTTGGACAAAATCCTGTTGTAAATTGCACCATCAGTGAAGATTTAGTGAGTCACCTCTTTCATTAATTCCATTGATTCAAACAGGATTACTCTGGGACTTATTACATTATTCAATGAGCCTACTCTATTTTGTTGTTATGTGCTGTCAAATTCGAACTTATAGTGACCCTAATAGAGTTTTTAATAGTGAGATATTTTAAAAAAGAGTTCCCATAGCCAAGAGGGGATTAGAACCCTGTTCTACAAAGTCCTATTCCATCACTTTATCCAGTGTACAACACTTGGAATTCTGTTTACTCTAGTGCTACCCTGGTTTCTCGAAAATAAGACCTAACCTGAAAATAAGCCTTAGTATGATTTTTCAGGATGCCCGTAATACAAACCCTACCCCAAAGATAAGTCTCAGTTACGTGAAACCCCGCCCTCCACCAATGTAAGCAACCAGAAGAAGATAACATGACTGTATAAATGTAGATTGTTGTACATGAAAAAAATAAAACATCCCATGAAAATAACTCCTAGTGTGTGTGGGGTTTTTTTTGAGCAAAAATTAATATAAAACTCTGTCTTATTTTTGGCGAAAAACGGTATTTACTACACTAAGAAATAGGATTTTGACCACTGACTTTGTCATTTACCTTTTTACTGAATTCATTTTTATAACAGGAACAAGATGGTATAATTCTGTTTGTCACAGTCACTGAGTCAATAACAAATATTAAATGAAATTTCACATTTTCCCTGTTCATTCAGTCTCAGTTTTTTTAAAAATTGTGAGACAGACTGCAGAAGACAAGCTCCAATTACTATATCCAATCAAAATTGTCTTAACCGTCATGACATTTCACTGCTTCCACCCTTCCTGCTGAGGATACGGAGGATGATAAATGTAATAAAGAATAAATCATATCTTATAGAATGCATTACCCTTGCTAAGACACAACCACGTTTTTCGATATCTCTGCAAAATAATCATCTTATTTTAAATATTTATCTTAATGCAAATATGTAAAAAGTTAAAACAAATAAGCACAACTGATACAATAAAAATATTCAGGTGCAAATGTAATTCTAAAATACTACTGTTCTTCTTTCAGCTCGATGCATACACCAAACATACATATGCACATTCATGTATACATGTATTTCACTCTTCCTAACAGCAATCTTAGTAGTGAATGTCAACTAAAAACGAGACCAAAAATGAGAAACAAGAGAGATATCTTTGTATGGTTGAAGGAACTCTAAACATAAGATGTAGACCCACTAGACTGGTTGTCCTCAACCTTGGGTGACTCAGGTGTTCTTAGACTGCAACTCCCAGAAACCCTGGCCAGCAAGCAAGTTTCAGAGGCATTATTCCTCATAAACAAAATTAATTTTTCTTATATATATCCATGTATATAATGATCCATGCTCACACTGCTTTATTTTCCTTCCAAGACTGCTTGAGGGAGAAATGGGATGACATTACCATAAACTGGAATGCAACATGTTGGTCTTTCTGTTGTCACAGATTCTTACTTCTATCATCATGCATGAACAATGATGGAAAATGTAGGACATATTAAAATACTGCATATTTTAAAGTCAAAACTTACACAATTTTTTATTCCTAATAGTAAAGTATTTTGTAATTACTTTGTGCCACAATGAACCAAATTACAGAATCACTAGCCTTCCATTTTTAAAGGCCAGGATCTAATCAGGTAATTAAGTCAGATAGCTCGGCTTCTCCCAGAACTGGTTATAACCCTCTTTCATGGAACCCTTTGTGCACCCTAAGAACCTGCTCCAGAGGGTATCCGACCCTCCGCATGAGACATTATGTGTACAGGAAATTGCAGGAAGGTAGGACTCAATGATTCTGGCATAGTAAGTGGTATAATGCAGTTTAAGGATTTGATTAAATTACTGACAACATTTTTCAATAATTTTTTACACCGCACCTATGAAACCTGTATCAAACAGAAGGTTCAACTGTGTATAGATCCTTTTATTTTTTCCAACATCATTTAATTTCTTTAGATTCTTAAAACCTCATTCTATCTGATGGGAAACACCTATGATTAATTTTTACATAAAACAAAATCCAGAAATGAGACACACTTTCTTTGGTCCTCTTATTCTTTTCTTACCTTTTATTGGAAACATCCAAACTACGGGAAGACTTTGTATTCTAACGGTTTTAACCAAGTCAGAAAATAATCAACCCATTTTTGCAAACATTGTGGAGTGATGTTCTTAACCAATATAAGCTGATTGACTCTATTTGAAGTAGTACATGAATGTTATTTCCAGTCATACATGATGCAACTCACCTTCTTTCAGCACTGTGGAAGTATTTTGCTGGTCATTGTCAACGCTTTGTGTTGTTCTATTTTTCACTTTCTCTGTATCTTCTTCTGACATCTAGATAGTGGGAAGCAAGAGATTTTCAGCAAGTCTGAAATTTCAGATAAATACAGGAACATAACATGCAGCTAAAAAAAAAATTCATGTCAAAATGATTTCAGTCGGAACCCTAAGAATACGATTTTATTTTCCCAAGAATTTTAAACATTTTAAATATTTTAAATATATAGTCCTTTGGAAGGTTTTAGCTTCTGGTGATTTTTTAGTCCTTTGGGGCTTGTTTAATTTTTAACTGTTGGCTTTAGCATTATATTTTGTATTGTCAAGTTGTCAAGTTGCACACAGTGCTTTTTTATTATTATTTACCGTAGTATGGTTATGATAGTAACTGTTTCATTTAGAGACATGTTCTGTTTCTTTCCTCATAACTTCTCTGGGCTGCAGTATTAATAGCGCAAATCTATGCATGTCTACTTAGAAATACATTCTAGCTGTTCCCAAAAGCCATGGATAGAATTACTAGCTGGAACTGCTCTACTTTGGGCCATAATATTGATTATTGTATCTATTGTCAGTATATATAATGAGATGTTTATGTTGAGTTAAATATTGAGCATTCATGCCAATTTTAAAAATCACATAAGCTATGACATCTCTTACATTAAACTAATATACCACTGCATGGTGGTTTATTAATATTACATGTGATCTTTGAAGAAACTATTATCAGTTCTATGTTGAGATATATTAATAACTCGTACGAAGAAATTACAGAACACAGATAAGCTGTGCTCAGGATGTAGCCCAATGCTTATTTAATGTGACTTTAAATAGCAATTAAGCATGCTATTAAAACGATCGCAAATAAATACCAATAAAAGAGAAGCTCAGCAAAAGAGCAACCAAAATCTCCAGTTTCACCCATTTATCTCTCATAATAATAATAATAATAATAATAATAATAATAATAATAATAATAATAATAATAATAATAATAATAATAATAATAATAATAATAATAATAATAATAA